GCCGGGCCAAGCAGAGCGCGGGGGGAGGCTGGAGAAAATCCGGAGCACTGCCGGCCGCCCCCCGCCCCGGGAGCTCACCTGGGAGCCGAGGGAGGCAGCGGCCCCCCTCCGTGGGATCCTTGCTGCTAATTTGGGCTGTGCAGCTACCACCGAAGCACAAAAATGAGGCCAAACGGAGATGTTCGAGCCCACGAAGACTTGGGGGAAGGGGGGGAGAGCTCGGCACCAGGCGCTATCTGGAAAGAAGACGATTATTTTAAGTTACCTCAACGACTGTGTTTCGGAAAGGGGCTGTAATCCCAGCCGGCGCTGTAAAAGGCGAATCAAACACCTTACAGCTTTGGCTGCAGCCCCAGCGGCATCTCGGATCATTCCGGCCTTTCGTGTTCCACTAAACCGGTTGTACTTCGGGACAATAAAGCTTTAAGACCTAACATAAAGGCGATTATTAGTCATTAATATCACGACTCGTTTAGGTATTATGCTCAAAATGGTCTCTAATGATTTGTGATCAATCAAGCTGATGGTCTTGTTAGAAATTAAGTTCCCTTTTCAGCTAGAAAACCAAAAAGGGAAAACAGGATACTTTTAGGGGAAGATTTCTTTAACCTGGAAATTGTATCTGTCAAAAATCCACAAAGAAAAAAAAAAAACAAACCCCAACAATTAAAATAGTGAATCTGCCAAAACAGGAGATTGAGTGATGATTTTATGGATTCTTAAAATTATAATTGAAAAGACCCCATCTAATTGGGGTTTAAAACACCAGGACTGGTATTTCTGATGACACTCTGCTGAAGCCACTAAAATGGGAGGAAAGGGCATCAGATGTAAAAACTGGCATTTGACTTCACCAGTTCTGGAGGCCTCAGCACACCTTTCCCCTTCCACCCATGCTATCAGCCATTCCTTTGAGGAGATCCAAACCCTCTCATCCTCCCTGTCTGTGATACAGAGGTAGCCCTGAACCAGATCTGCAAAGCAATTCACAAACCGCTTATGAATTTTGAAGAGTGACTTGTGAATTGCTCAGGAATTGGCAAAAATTAAAACCAGAATTTCGCCTGGCTGGATACTTTCCAGCAGCCAGGCACTGAAATTTGGTCCTTCCACTTGGGAAAACAAGCCTCTCCTTGAAATTACAAGAGTCATAATAATAATAATAATTTTTAAAAAAATCATTAAATAAAAGGAAAAGCTTCATTTTCTTTAGGGAACGAGTGCAGCGGTACCTGTCTGGTGGGCTTCAGACTACTCAAAAGCCAGCCAGAATATTTGTACATTTTTCAAGTTGTTTTTTTTTTTTTCATGCCCGATCCACCAAATTTCAAGGCCACATTCTGCCCTCCTTTACACCAGATTTGTAACACGGCAGGATCTGGCCTTGCGTAATTGCACTGTGGTGCATCCAGCCAAGCAGTGCCTGCCTTCCGGAGCTCAAAGTCCACAGCAGGTTTACAGTCCCTGTGCCTGGGTGTGTGCACGCTATCACCGGCACCATAGGCATAACCACAAACATTTGCTAAATAAGCAGCTGGGCTCCAATCCGATATCCACGGCCCCGATCTTGCCATGTTTTACTCAGCAGTAAAAGGCCTGAGCCTGTATTCCGAGTTTTGAACGCTTCTGACTCTGTTAGGTTGCTCCAATTTTACACTAGCGTAGGAGAAAACATAACGCCCCTTCTGTTTCCTACTGTAACTCCCCTGGGCCTTTCTTGGCAGGAGTTTATAGTCATGCTGTAACTCGGATTGTTCCTCCGAACACAACTAGTACAACCTGCATCCACACTCAGAAGCACTCTCAACCGAGCATAGGTCATGATACAAATCAATACGAGTAGAGCTCCTTCCTACGCTTTGCGTACAGCAGAGGCTCCATCGTGGCGGGACGAGATTAGGCTATGCAAGGCAAATAATCCTACCACCAACAGCTTCTCACATTGCCTCCCGCCTGATTTAACAAGACCTTTCTGGCCAAGAAACTCCGCGTTGCAGCTCCAGAGCAATCTGACCAGAAGGTGTCTGCAAGGCCCGAACGCAGTTTGCCCAAACATGTTGGTAAGCACAGAGAAACAGCCTGTGACTGAGCCCCGAAACACTGCACAAGGAAGTGTGTTGGCACAGGCTTCCAGAGCCTGAAGGAGCGGGGGGGAAAAGTGCGTGTCTGCGAGGAGGAGCCACCCAAAATGCATTCCATTTTGGAACGGTGCACACAAGAGCTTCCCAAGGAGCAGTAGCACGGATGTAATTGTGCAGTCATAGCCTTGACGCAGGCCCTCAAACTGCTCACACATGAAGACGACACGCTAAAAGAGAAGGAACCGAACTGCATTTTTCTACAGTGGTACTGACCTGACGTGGGCCACAGGCATAGTCTAAGTGCAGCCTTGTCTTTGAGCAAGGATGGTCAAAGCTTGCCTGACTGAGGCCAGGTCTCCTGTAGATCATTCAAAAACCCTCCTGTGTTAAAGAGAAATAAATGAACAAACAGAAATCAAAGGTTGGAAAGATTGGGAGGGGGGAAACAGACACCAGACTTCATAGGGCAATTCATTAGAAATACTACAGACTGCCAGGTAATCTCTGCCTATCAACACATGCGCTAATTAGGAAGGAGCAGCAACGTTTGGTGTGCTGGAACATCAGCATCCCTCATGGTTTGTTTGTTTGTTTGTTTGTTTTAAAAAGAGGCAGTGAACTGCTTCCTATGTTTCTAATTGCATCCTTGGCCTTTTTCTTTCTAATTGCAGTACACATTAATACTGTGAGATTTCACCAGGTAGTTGTAAGAACAAAACATCTTCAATTTCTCCCTGGATGTTTTTGCTTCAGTGCATGCAGGAGCTACAGGCAAATACCTAATACTGCCCCCAGAGCAGACAACTTTTTGCAAATAAAGATCCCGTCAGCACCCATAACATGGGAAAAGCTAAACAAAGGGCCTGCCTACGGCCAAGGATGCTCGTTCCACTAAAGGAGCACTCTCCACCGAGCAAGGCAGGTCTCATGGGAAAGAAGCAAGCACACTACAAGCAAAGGTGTGATGAAACACCGCTTAAGACCTCATGCCATCTCCGTTCACACCAGCTCAGGGGTCAACACTGACCTTTCGGAGCAGGGCCCTTCTCATGCAAGGCTCAGCCACAAATAAAAGCAAGCCCCTCAAAAAAATTGGGGTGCTGCATTACTGCAGTTTGCACCTCTACATTAGCAGGGAGGGAGCTGCACCTGTGAGCTGGGCTGCTTTCCTTGAATTTCAATTGCTTTTTTCCTTTTTTGCTGGTGCAACTCTTCCACTGTAACAAGGCTGCCCCACATGTCCCAAGGCACGAAGGAATTGGTTAAAACTGAAGGAAGGAATGCTCCCTCCCTTCTCACTCCAATTTTAGCTCTCTCTTTCCTTCATTTTCTGCTTTAGTTCATGTTTTTCTCCTTTAATGTTTTTGTGGCAGTAGGAGAAACACCGTTCCCTAGAATGCATAATATGCTTAATTATCATTCTCCGTTAGTTCTCTAGGAAAAAAAAAAAACTACAGGAGAAATCAGTTTAATTAATGAGTATGACCAAATGCAGCCTTAGTTCTAATGCGGTATCATATATTATATGTCCAGTTGGGCAGTTGATCTTACTTGGGTAAAATGAAGAGAGATGCAAAAAACCATGGAGCTCATGAATCAATATTCCGAGTGCAACTAACCCCTTTTGTATAGTTATTCTAAGCCTTCCTACAGATTTCGATGCCAACGTCTGTTCCCAAATACTGCTTTTGGCTTCAGTAATGCAGGATCGGGCCCATACAGTCTAGTAATAGAAAGCTGTTGCTTGGCAGTACCAAGGATTGTGCCACATGGTAAATTCATTAAGTAACTAAGAAAAAAACTCTTAACTCCAAGATAACACTCAAATAGTCATACCCAATAAAAATCCCCAGTGCGTGTCAAGGACAAGGGTGGCAAGGTTTCGTCTGAAAGTAAGACTTGTGATTTAGATGCTTTTCAAAAGGGCTACTCTTCACATATTAAATTATTAAGGAAATATTACGGAACAGGATTATCAGGAAAGAAAAAAACGCAGTGTGCATTAGCTGGCTTAGTCAGAGGTTTTGCTGCATTCCTCATGCACAGAGATGACTCCCTCCCTCTGCAATTCCCTATGCACTCCCAGTCCTCTGGAGACTGCTGGTGTGCATCATCCTCGCTCCAGCTGAAACACTCTGTCCTCTGGCAGAGATTTGGGCTGCCTACCATTGCTGTATATCTTCTCACATCTTTTTGCCATTTCATAAACATCCGTGTTTTTCCCCAAATCCCATTCAGGTTGTATTACCTGCACAATGTGTTTCATTTTTGACCCAGGCCAGACTGTTCACACCGATGCCATCTATATGGCACACGGGCTCCTAAAACAGTCTTCCCTTTCCACTCTTGCTTCTCGAGACACAGTGGATTGTACTTTGCATTGAGCTGAGTTTTAAACAACTTTAGGCTGCTTTTCTTTCCCTTTCAGTGCTCACTCTGCAGTCTCTATCAAAAGCACAAGTCATTCTTTTCTGGAACACTTGGTTACTTTTTTGAAGAGAGGCTACGCTGATGTCCTGATACTCATCTCATACTGGGGCCAGTGGATTAAGAGGGAAAAAAAAAGTCTGCAGATAAAACCAAATGCTCTGCTTTACAGCCGAGGAGGGAATACTTTTAATAAAGAAAAAACACAGAAATGGTGGGGAAAAATAGAGAGAGATGGCCAGTCTTCAGGCCTAATTAACCACTGGTGTAAACAGATGTCGCTGCAATCAAGCCAAAAGACTTCGGCCACCCACTAGTCTTGAGCACAAACTCAACATGAGCCTGAAAAATCTTAACAACATGGGTCTGTCAAACATGCAAGCCACACACGCTTCAATACAAAGGTCGTCACCATCTCCCTTACGTTGATGGACTACCTGCTCCTGGTTCACCAGGGGAGAGCAGCTCTACTGATCCGGCTTACCGCGTGTGCTGCACATACTACAGCCCTTTTCTGAAGCGAAGCTACTCCAGCAGAGCTCTACGTGAAGCCATACACTTCTGGAGCACAGATGCCCCCCCCCGCACTCTTCTTAAACACACTTGAAACCTGGAAGAGGCCTGGCTGCATAGGCAAGATGGAATATGTTTAGCACTGCTCAACCCAGCTGAAATGCCAAAGGCTTGATAGTC